GGGCCTCATAAAAGCAGGCTAGGGAGGGACGATTACCTCTCTCTATTTGCTGGCCACCCCTCTTCTGATGCAGCTCAGGCCTTCTGGGCTGCAAGAGTACAGCAATGGCTCATGTCCGGTTTCTCATCCATCAGGATGCCCAAGTACATCTCTGCAGGGCTTCTCTCTGTGAGTTCTCCCTGTCTGTACTTGAATGTAGGACTGCCTTGACCCAGGTGCAACACTTTGCACTTGGCCTTGCTAAACCTCATTAGATTATTGTGTTCCCACTTCTTGAGCATGTCCAGGTCCCTCAGGACGGTGTCCCTCCCTTCTATTGTGTCAACTGCACAACTCTGCTTCATGTCATCAGCAAACTTGCTGAGGGTACATTAAATCCCACAGTCTATGTGGTTGATAAAGATGTTGAAGAGCAAGACAGACCAGTCCTGGGGGTCTCACAAGCCTGTATTTCCCTAGGTATTCCTTTCTTCTTTTCTTGAAAGGGGAGTGATGTTTCCTGTTTTTCCAGTTACCGGGGACTTTGCCTGACAGCCACAATTTTTTAAATATGATGGAGAGCGGCTTGGCAACCACATCAGCTTGTCCCTTCAGAAGCCTGGGATGCACGCCATCTGGCCCATTAGACTTGTACACATTCAGCTTCACGAGGTGGTGTAAGACACGCTTCACCTTACTGGGAGGGATTTTGCTCTCTGACCCTCACTTCGAAATTCAAGGACAGGACAGCCATGAGAAGCCAGACTGGCTGTGAAGACTGAGGCACTGTTCCCTCTGTCAAAATGTTTTCTGTCAAATTAGTCTAGACCAGTCAGTGAAAAATACCAAGTAAGAAAGCATCACAGAAATTTCTACCTTAGAATCATAAAATCCTTAAGAGTTGCAAGGGACCTCTCAAGGCTATCTGGGCTAACTTCACTGCAATGAACAAGGACACCACATGTAGATCAGGTCTAGGGCCTTATCCAGCCTCATCTTGAAAGTTTCCAAGGACAAGGCATCCACTGTATAAATAGGCATCCTGTTCCATCTCACTGTAAAAGACATTTCTTTATATCTAACCTAAATCTGTCCTCTTTGAGCTTGAAGCCATTTTCTCATATTCTATCACCACAGACCCTGCTTAAGAATCCGTATCTTCTTTCCTGTAGCCCCCCTTTAGATATTGAAAGGCCGCTCTCAGATCTCCCCAGAGCCTTCTCTTCTCTGGGCTGAACAGCCCCAGCTCTCTCAGTCTGTCCTCGTAGGCGTGGTGTTCCATTCCACGGATCATTTTTGTGGACATGCTCCAACAGGTCTATCTATCTCCTGTACTGAGGACTCCACATCTGGATGCAGTACTTTAGGTGAAGCCTCACCAGCGCAGAGTAGAGGGGCAGGATCACCTCCCTTGGTCTGCTGGCCATACTTCTTTTGATGCAGCCCACAATACAATGCAGCCCTCTGGGCTGTGAGGGCTCATTGCTAGCTCATGTCGAGCTTCTCATAAGAGAGCTCCCAGGCCTTTTTCGACAGAGCGGTGCTCAATCCTTTCATCCCCCAGCTTGCATTGGTAATGAGGGTTGCCTCAACCCAGATGCAAGACCTTGCACTTGGATTTGTTGAACCTCATGAGATTCACCTGGGTCCGCTGCTCAAGCCTGCATCCCATCCCTCTGGTATATCAATCACACCCCATAGCTTGGTGTCACCTGCGAACTTGCTAAGGGTGCACCTGACTCCACTGGTCAATGTCACCAGTGAAGACATTAAAGAGTATTGGCCCCAGTACCAACCCCTGGGGGACACCACTCATCGCTGATCTCCATTTAGACATGGAGCCATTGACCACCACTGCGGACTTGGATCTGCAGCCAATTCTTTGCGCACTGAACAGTCCACTCATCAAATGCATATCTTTCCAATTTAGAGAGAAGGATTTGTGGGATACTGTGTCAAAGGTCTTACTGAATTTGAGACACATGACATCAGTGGCTCTTCTCTTGTCCATTGATACAATGACACCATCACAGAAGGCCAGTAGGCTAGTTAAGCAGGATTCACCCTTGGTGAACCCACGCTGGCTCTCCATTATCACTCCCTGCCTTCCATCTGCCTTAGCATAGCTTCCAGGAGGAACTTTCCTATGAACTTCCCTGGCACAGAGGTGAGACTGACAAGTTAGTAGTACTCAGGCACCTCTTCTATACTCTTTTAAAAAATGGGCCTATTGCCTTTTTTCAGGGACTTCACCTGACTGCTATAACTTCTCAAATATCATTGAGAGTGGTTTGGCAACTATGTCAGCCAGCTCCCTCCAGATTTTGGGAAAAATCTCACTGGGACCCATAGACCTGTGGATGTTTGGGTTCCTTAGGTAGCCACAAGCCTGATTTTTGATCCCCTCCTACCAAACCAAATGTTTGAGGGCTGTGTGGTGAGTGGTTATCAGGGAAGAGAGAAGCATAAAAGCTGTTAAGTACCTCAACCTTCTCCTTGTCTGTTATTACCAGCTTGTCTGAGTCACTCCTGGCTGCTGGTCTTCCCTTTTCTGGTTGAAGTACCTGTAGTCTTTCCTGTTCTTGTCAGCCCTAGCCAAGTTCAGTTCAGGCTGGGTTTTAGATTTCCTGACCCCATCCCTACACACTCTATCTGCTTCCTTATATTCTCCCCATGGTATCTGTCCCTTTTTCTTCTGCCTGTGCATTCTCTTCTTGCTCTTCAGTTTGACCAGCAACTGCTGGTTCAGCCACACCAGTCTCTTGCTTTCCTTTCCTGACTTGCTACACCTGCAGATGGAAAGTTCTTGCACTTTGAAGAACGCCTCCTTAAAGATCTGTCAGATCTGCTCTGCACCCTTGCCCATGAGGACTGTTTCCCATGGTGTTGGTTGAGTAAATCACTGAAGAGCTGGAATTTAGCCTCCCTAAAGTTTAGCTTCCTAATTTTACTCTTCACCTATCTCATGTCCCTCCGGAGCATGAACTCAAACACAGCATCATCACTACAGTTCAGGCAGTCTCCATTATTGACAACACCAATTAGTTCATTTATGTTTGTGAGCAACAGGTCCAGTATTATATTTCCCTCAGTGGGGCAATCAATTACTTGACTCAGGAAGTCATTACCTGGGAATCCACTATAACTTTTAATGCAGAGTCATACTTGAATGCAACAAGTTTGAACTGCCCTCTGATAAGGCACATGTGCTATGTGAGTACAAGCATTTCCCAAGGATCAGACTGCTTTTGTCTTTTCTGGAAATTAAAACTTACTAGCCTTTATTTACAAGAAGCAAACCAAAACACAACACTGTAAAACAAGGCGGCAAGACCACAGAGTGGTGTACCAGTGGTGCTCAGAAGCCTGTCCAGACTCTCTTTTTCAAGCTGGGCACTTGAAAAGTGAAACATTTCTTTCACTGATGTTTGTAGAGGAATAAAGACCAGGCAGCTTAGCCGGAGCATGACTGGCTTGCTCAGCATGAAAAGCAAGGAAAAGAATGCACAGAAGCAGCTTTCTGCATGGCTGTATTGCTGTAATTCAGCTACAAGTCATCCATAAATTTGTTTTTGAGGGTGCTTAACTTATTAGGAGAAAGTATGGTAGCCACAAGAAAAAAGATTTTGGTTTGAGAAGGTCCCTTTTGACAGTAGGTTATTTTTTTTTTTTTTTGTTTGTTTGTTTTTTTACAAGCAATTTTTCACTCTTTTGACCTTTTTATTTTCTTAGTGGAATTGATATTTCCTTATAAAAGTCCCTTGAGTGTAGATTCATAGTACAATGAATACATTCAGAGTTCAATTTGATTTCAGAAACGTTAAAGGACAGAGTGTTCTACCTGTTATACCAGAATCTCTTGAATTTCTCTTTTATTTAATAATGTTGTATTTGTGTACATTTATATATATGTAGTCAATTAACCTAAATCATAACAATCATAAAATTGTTACTGTACACAAATAGCAGCTGTAAAGTCTTATGTAATCATTTAAAGCTAGATAACAGCTTTTCAGTTCCTTTCAGTTCCACAGCATAAGCAATCATACATCTGCAAATCTTGCATCACAGCTGTTGTTGGCAACTGCGAGACCCCCCCACGGGATGTGACGCGATAGGCCCTCTCCCTGCTCTCTGACTGATGTGTGGCACGTGCCCTTAGGGGCGCAGACGAAGCACATAGGTTATATAAGCTAGAGTTCACGTGTAATAAACGCCATTTTGCTGTTCATCATATTGGTGTGTACGTGCAGTAATTTGGTCCTGGCCTGGTTTTAGGTCAGTACCGTAGGAGGCAATGCAACACACAGCATATTTTGATGAGGTGTTTTATTCAATTTTTACCCCTACAGTAAATTGATTAAGTCTGTGGAAATGCACTCCAGATATGAATCAGAATCACCACATTAATTCATAGTAAATGCCACTTCACTGTCATGTGAACAAAGATTTTCTATCTTATATTCTAGAACAGATTTCCAGGTTCTCTTCCCTGGAATAATAAGGAATGTTTTCCCACTTGTTTTAATATTGTGCATTTTAAAAAATTAGGTAATCAATAGTTTAAATAACTCCATAAATGAAAAGTGTCCCATTGACATACAGTAAAATAGCTTTTCTCTGACAAGAAAAAAGGGCTTTCAAACACTTGTTTTCAATTATTAAGCAATTATTAAGTCACTTGTCTCAAATGCTGGACAATAAAGCTCAGTAGAAATTAAAACATCAGCTTAGAGCAGAATGGAATTGAATAGCCTTAATTCAAATACTTCTGTTTTCTTTTTTTTTTTTTTTTTTTCTTTCCTGGGAGGAGGAAGAGTTCAGTGTAGGAAACTAAGCTAAGGATTGTAATCTCAATCAAAATTCCATATACTACATACTACCATTATGGTCTCCTGCAGGAATGAATCACAGGATTTGTAAGGATTACATGCAGAGCACAACAGGGATCTACTCACCATATTCTTAGATAACATCAATCATTAAGTAACTTGCAGGTAAGAAAAAAGTTAAAACACTACCTCAAATGTCAGCAGGGGATGGATGATTCTATGATGCTTCACACGTCCCTCAGCTCAACTGCAAAATGTGGCCTTCTCCAGCCATCCCAGCACCTACACAAAATCGGGGGGAAAAAAAAAAACAAAAAACAACAGATGAGTTCTAGAACATAATGGTGGTGGAATGATGACAGAACAAAATCCTAGTGGAGTCTTGTCACTATCCTTCCATGGGAAAGGCATCTTGGGAAAGGCCCCCAGTTGGGCAGCCTCCATAATGGATCAAGAGGTGCACCTGGGCTTCTCACTCAAAAACTAGCAGCTGCCTGCAATCCCTTTGTCACTGGGGGCTTGCCAAGCAGCAGTATTCAACACTAACTTTGACATTAAAATGTACCAGCACAGATTCAGATGGCAAAGAAAAGTCAAGAAGACCTACCAACACTCATTATCAATATATCTAAACATAACTAAAGTGGATTGGAAAGAAAAAGCAGAATTATCATGAAGAGGATATGGATGAGTATATCACATTCCTAATATTTTAGACAGTAAACTATAGTGTAGAAACTTATGAACAGCTATTTTTAAGAAAGCAACACTGTGTTTTTCATTAGAAGGACAGTATGAAGCACTCTAAGGAAAACAACGTTTGTTTTGTTCAGAATTGCTGAACACATTACCACTGCCAGTATTTGGCAAAGCAGCAGTATCTAAAATGGTCTTGAACTAGCAGCACTTCTATATTTAAATAAAAATCATTATTAATTCAATATGAAGGTTTATTTCTTCTCAAGGAAGAAGTCATTAGTGACATGATTTAATGGTAGACTTGGTAGTGTTAGCTTGATAGTTTGGACTTGATCATCTTAAGGGTAATTTTCAACCTACATGATTCAGCATTCTTTAGTGTTTTGAAAAGTTGGCAGTGGTGCCTACATTCATTGATTGTTTCATAACAATTTGATTGTTGTGGGTGGAAACCCCTCAAGACCAGAGTTCACAGTATCAAGCTCTTTAAATACCCAGAAAAAGTAAGCAACTTGTGAAAAAACACTGAAATAACTGCATGCTTTCAGACTGTACGCACAAGGCCACGCTGCACTAGTACAGTTAGTATGTCACATGAGTTTTCTTTAGCTGAGGGCTAGCACAGGCTTCAGAAAGAATAGCAGAAATTTTGATCTATGTTCACAGAATTTCCAATTTTTTAAGTATTTCTTTAAATGTATGCATAGATGCCTAAATGATGAGGATTTGAATGTAAAATGAGGCAGACTGAGCGAAAATGTTGTATTAGTCAGATACTCTTTAGTGCAATTTGTAAAACACTAAGTGACAACTGTGTAATTACGTTAAAAAAAGACAACAAACAACTACCAGATGGGAAAATCTTTGAATTGATCATATAACAAGATTAAAGAAATATTTGGTAACATGAGAAGGAATCTTCTATTAAAAAAATTTTAAAAAAATCATTAATAATAGCTATGAAAGTGAAAATAAATTATGCTGTGTATCATAGCTGAAGTGAAATCTGTGATCACGGTTCTTCACAGATACATGCTGTGGAACAAGATAATTAGACATGGTATGCCTTTAATTATTACCTCTTTCACATTTTGCAATAAGCACAACTAACACTGCACCTCACAGGAAGAGCCCACTCACATTTTATAAGGTTGAGGATCTTACTGTCCCATTTTAACCTCATCCAATAAGGATTTTTAAAACCATTTGTAAATTTTGGAAAGACCTCTTAATCTCACTCAGAACAATTGATCCATGAGCCACAACCCTCATTTTCTACGATAAAGAACAGTTCAGGCTGAACAAAACTGTAAAGACTAAGGCAGCTGTTGACTGAAGCAGGTTAACTAGGAGTACTGACAAATTCCTGTTTTAAAACACTTGTTACAATATTAGCAAGTGGAAATGATCTCCATGTGACAAAATCAGAACCTTACTACAAAGACAAAGGCAAAATTCTTCCAGGAGCCTTTTCAAAATATTTTGAAATCCTGCTCAATAGCAGAGAAGATCTTAGCTACTTTATAGGCAACAAAAAGGACATGCCCTAATTTCTGCTTAACTAACTGTACTCTGAATATTTTGTTTCAATCTTGGTAGCTAGTGGAGATAGCACAGGGATTCCATGCAACAACACTGCTAATTTGCAATGTTGCAGTTTAGAACAAGCCATCAAGTGTGAAGACAATCACATGTGCACTTGATTCTGACTCTTTATCACCTGTGAAAAAGAGGTGGTATGGCACACAACATAATGAGCAGCCATGTTTTCAATGATTCTTAGAAAAACTGCAACTTCAGTGAAAGGAGAACATGGATTAACAGGAAGAAACTGCAAAGGTAATAATTTTTTCACAGACTTTTTTTTTTTCACAGTAGAAGTTATTTATTCTAACCTGTGTGGCAAACAAAAGGATTGGAATACAGAGTCAAAATTGGACCCATCCAGGATTCCTTTGCCTCCTAACTAAAAACGTGCAATTCTTTAGTGGGATGTCAGGGTCTGTGTCTGTTTCATCTCAGCACCTAACCTGAGAGAATAACAAACCTAAGAATGTGAGACGGACACAAACACGTCAGAGGATTTTTCATTCTTCAAAACAGTATTCAAACAATTCCATCTTTGTAAAACCAATCATGGGTTTTCAAATAGCATTCTATGGTTGGTCTCAAGGCAGGCAGAATGAGTTGCTTCAACGGGTATGAAGGTAGGAAGGAACCTGTTGCTTACAGAGGAAGCTAACTAAAATTAAGCTCTTGCTTGAAGGGAAAGCCTATGCAATGCATTGCCTCCCAGGAGATTTCAGCCATATCAGAGAGGTAGACATCTTACTGTGTGTACAGCCTACTACTTCCCTTCATCAAATGAGCTGCTCCAATACAATGCTGCTCAGAGAGCACTAGCTCTGCATTATGGCTTGGATGTCATCTGAATAAAGGGAAATGCTGTGGCCTCCCTACCAGCTCAAGTTTTCCCATTTCACTTGTTAACTTTATAAAGGCTGTTTCATCCTCAAATTGAAGAGATAAGGTAACTAGAGGTACAAATCAGCACATAAGTTCTACGTTCTGCTGTTGCCTTTCTTCACTTTAGAGTGTGTATTTCTCAATATAAGAAATGGGAGGGACAATGCCCTAAGACTAGAGAGGCTAAGTGTTGTCGCTTCATTTATATGTGCTTCCAACCACAAGGCAATGCGCCTCCTTTTTATAGTTACATGTATATACGTGCACAATTATACAGTCATGCTGACACTATATTACAGTATTTACTTCAATTGATCTTGAACAAAATAGAGCTACAACTTACGTAGAAAACTTGACCCAGGCACCAAATTTGAATCTAAAAACTAAGATGAATGATCTAGGCTTATAGCTGAAAATGCACAGTTAGCATTAACTTGTGGTCACTTGCATTGTCCAGAGAACTTGCAAAGTATTCTCAGTCTGGTTTACATACTACACTCTTACATAAGCATGTACACAAAAGTGTGCAAAATCAAAACCAGCTTCATGCTTAGATTCAGAATTACATAATCACAGACACAGCAAGGTTGGAAAAGACCTACAAGATCATCTAGTCCAATCATCCAACTATCACCAATAGTTCTCACTGGACCCATGACCTTCAACACAATGTCCAAATGCTCCTTGAACACCTCCAGGCTCAGTGATTCCACCACCTCCCTGGGCAGCCCATTCCACTGCCTGACCGCTCTTTCAGAGAAGTAAGAGGAGGCATGTATTTGTGTTCGATCTTTAGCTATAAAAAATACAACTGAATGCTTGTAATAAGCTACATGCATATATATGCCCATGGGATTTGAAGGAATGCATATGAAAGTGCTGAGGAAGCTGGTCAATGTCACTGCATGCAAGGCCATTCTCAGTGACATCTGAAAGGCCAGGGAAATGTGGAGAGGTTCCTGAGGATAGGATGCATATCACTCCAATTTCAAGAAAGGAAAGACGCAGAATATTGAGAACTAAGGACTAGTAATTATTACTCCTGATCCCTAGGGATCTCATCTTGATCTCCTGAGAAGTGATGGAGAAAATAATCCTGGAAAATATTTTGAAATATATAGAGTACTAGAAGCAATTGCGAGTAGTCAGCATGGAGTTATGAAGGAAAAATAAAATCTGATAGCCTTCTACAGTGAAATAATTAGTTTGCTGGATAAGGGGAAAACGGTAGATGTTATCTTGAGTTCAGCAAGGTTTCCAACACCACCTTCTCTGAAATTTTTTCACTAACAAATCAAAGAAGTACTGCACAGGGAAGCGGATCGTGAAATGGTCTGAAAACTGGTTAGCATACCAGGCTCAAATGTATTATCAGTGGGAAGAATTCTGCAGGTCAGTCAGTGATAGAGTCAATATTCAATACTGACCAAGAGTTAACTCTTTGCTGCAAGACATCCACAGCAAATCAGAGAATCATAGAATGGCTTAGGTAGAAAGGGACCATGAAGATCATCTAGTTCCAACCCCTGTTGCCACTGGCAGTGTTGCCAGTCACTAGATCAGACTGCCTAAACACCCATCCAACCTGGTCTTGAATGCCTCCAGAGATGGAGCACCCACAACCACTCTGGACAACTTGTTCCAGTATCTCATCATTCTCTGAGAAAAAGATTTCTTCAGAACATCTAACCTAAATCTTCCCTCTTTCAGATTAAAGACATTCCTTCTCGTTCTGTCACTATCAGACCATGTAAAATTCAGTCACACTCCTGCTTGTAAGCTCCCTTCAAGCACTGGAAGGCCGCAATGACATGACCCTGGAGCCCTCTCTTCTCTAAGCTAAACAAGCCTGAATCCTTCAACCTTTCTCCATAGGAGAGGTGTTCCAGCCCTTCAATCATCTTGTCTCTCTTCTGGATTCACTCTAACAGCTCTTCAGCCTTTCTGTTACTGCAGACCTGAGGCCTGGATGCCACTGTTCCAGATGGGGCCTCATGAGGGCAGAACAGTGGGGCACAGTCACCTCCCTCTCTCTGCTGACCATCCTTCTGATGCAGCCCAGGATGCAGGCTCACATCAAGTTTTTCACTGATTGGGATGCCCAAGTACTTTTCTAC